GCAGGCCAAGCAACAGATGCTGCTTGGCCTGCTGTGTTCATCCAGCTCTACACCTTGTTACCTCGGAAACAGGACATCTTTTTAAAACAGCCATGCTTTTACCTATTACCACACATTGTGGATTCTTTTTAACTTGTAATCCAGAAGAAAATATACATTTCAGCACATTAGTAGGATTCCGGCAGGTTTTATAACTTCACCTGCAGCTTTTATTTGCATTATCTGCAGGTACCATCTCGCACACCTAACTGCTGACTGCCTTGCAATCCTTGCCAGCGAGGAGTGAACTGATAAACTAAGCGGACAGTAGGAGTCAGGAATCTGCAAAAACAGAACGTGTTCAATACTTAACCGGCCTGTCATGAGTTGGCTTCTGGACGGGGTGCAGATGGGCTGGATGTAGTAGTTCTCCAACTTAACCCCTTGTGCAGCAAGTCTGTCCAGGGTCGGGGTGTGGATTTCCGAGCCGTGATAGCCCACATCGTGGAAGCCTTGGTCGTCGGCGAGGATGAAGATGATGTGCGGTCTGGAGGCGCTCTGGCTGCCGGGATCCTGCACACCGGGGGCTCGCAGTTCAGGTTCGAGCCAGTCCCAGGACAAGTAACCGAAGGTCAGTAAACTCGCCACTGAGAACCCAGCCAGGGCACCGATCATGACGGTGACGGCGATGTTTAGTGATTTTTTTTTTATTATTTCCCCACCCCCCCCAAAGGTCAGACTCTGGAGCACTTTAGCAGCGTGACTGACATAGGCGGGAATGTTGCTGGGTTTTGGGGAACAGCAATAAGGAAGCGGATAGTGTGGAGGAGAAGCCGGGCACAGTGGGACACAGCGTGGGGGATAGTAGCGGGTTTCCCTTCACCATGCTGGGCTCCAGTGCACGGTGATGCCGCTGCTGCTGCACTCGGTGCTGGGGCCGCTCGCCTCACCCTATCGGTCGAACCGATCCTCGGCATTGGCCGCCCTCCGCCCACCTCCCTCACCGCCTTTCATTCATCAGGGTCGGCTGCCTCCTGAGGGGAGGGGGGGGGGGGCGATGTTCGGGGCACCGGCTCCCAGCCACTGCAGCACCGCCTTGCTTTGTGGCAAACGCCCCAGGAGAGGTCCAGCTCTCTTTAATAGTTTAGGCAAGGGGTGAGCTGGCCGAGCCTGCTCCAGTCCCCGCTCAGATCACATCATCGGTCCACCAGCTATTCCGCCACGCCGCCTTCTCGTTCAACGAGTTACAGAATTGTAGTGTGTGCTTCTTTTAAATAGTGCGAGAGCTGGGGGGGGCGGGTGGATTCTGGAATTTTGACTCAGGGACTTCCGAAAGCTTGTGATTTCAAGCAAACCCTGTTGGATGGACTATAACCTGGGTGGGGTATGACTTCTGACTCGGTTAGGGTCAGCAGAAGGTACAGTGCAGTCGTTACGAGGCCTTAAGTTCTTTGTGCACGCCGACTGGATTCAATATACTACCAACTGAAATAACACTATTTCATAACACAAATAAAATCACTTCATAACACTAATAAAACCACTTCACAGCACAAGTAAGATCACTTCATAACACAAATAAAATCACTTGTTTAAGGCGCAAGTGTAACTCTTTTAGCTTTTTACTTCCTGTTCATTAATTGGCGATAGAATTCAATTCGTATTTTAATCCTGCAATGCATTTATATCATTTTCCCTGCTACTTTAAGTAATACCCTGTCAAAACAAATACTCTTTTAGCGTCTGCCAAGGTAACAGAGTAACCTCGATCTTCACCTACTGAGCACTGATCCCAAAGATTGGACAGATTAGTTCTGAGATTAAATCAATGGGCGAGAAAATGATGAGCAAACACAGTACCTTCAGTACTTTGTAGTTGAAGAAAATAAGTGGAAGCAACTTTTAGTAGTTGTCAGTGGATGTATTTCTGTAAAATTTAATCTCTATAAGTAAAACTAATCAGGATCAGTCATCATGTGGCCTCCTCCAATAAAAATGTCAATTTAGTATCAAACTGGGTGTTCATATTAATAACTGATGTCTATCCAAAGGTTATAGTTGCCTACCTGTGGGGAACATAAATAAGAAAGCGATTACTTGTTTGGAGAAGAAGCCAGGCACAGTGGGATACAGCAATGCAGGGTGACATGGGGAACTGCAGCGGGTTTCACTTCACCATACACTTTCACACCTTCCGGGTGCTCCGGTTTCCTCCCACAGTCCAAAGATGTGCAGGTTAGGGTGGCTTGGCCATGCTAAATTGCCTATAGTGTTCAGGGATGTGTAGATTAGGTGCATTATAGGGGGATGGGTCTGAGTGGGATGCTCTGAGGGTCGCTGTGGATTTGTTGGGCCAAAAGGCCTGTTTCCACACTGTAGGAATTCTAAGAATTCCTAAGAACACTGGGCTCCAGTGCACAGCGATGCTGCTGCTGCTGCACTCTGTGCTGGGACCGCTCGCCTCTCCCTTTCGGTCGAACCGATCCTCGGCATTTCTCGCTCTCCCCCCACCTCCCTCACCGCCTTTCATTCACCAGGAAAAGCTCAGCAGGTCTGGCAGCATCTGTGAAGAAAAATCAAAGTTTACTGTTTCATGTCTGCAGAAGATAGGGTGGGGGGAGTGGCAAATGAGTGAACGATAGATGGGGATAGAGCCCAAAGAAGAAAGAAGAGCAGTTGGACAGACAAAGGAGTAGATAACAATCTGGCTGAATAGTGGTTAATGGGAACTGTTAACAATAGGTAGTGTGTAATGGCAGACTATGTGATTACAAGGTCTGGTTTGTAGGGTAGGAGCCGGGACATGGGAGAGTTCAGGCCCTAAAATTATTGAACTTGATATTGAGTCCGGAGGGCTGCAGTGTCCCCAAGCGGAAAATGAGGTGTTGCTCTTCCAGCTTGCACTGAGCTTCACTGGAACACTACAGCAAGCCAGAGATTTTGGCCAGGGAACAGGGTGGTGTGTTAAAGTGGCAGGCAACTGGAAGTTCAGGGTCATTTTTGTGAGCAGAACGTAGATGTCCTGTGAAGCGGTCACCCAGTCTACGCTTCCTTTCCCCAATGTAGAGGAGACCACATTGTGAGCAGCGAATGCAGTAGACTAGATTGTAGGAAGTGCAGGTAAAGTGCTGCTTCACCTGTAAGGTATGTTTGGGCCCTTGGATACTGGGGAGGGAGGAGGTAAATGGGCAGGTATTGCACCTTTGCCGGTTACAGGGGCAGGTGCTGTGGGGCTGTAGGGAGGTGTTGGGAGTGAAGGAAGTGTGGACCAGTGTGTCCCAGAAGGAACAGTCCCTGCAGAAGGTGGAAAAGTGAGAGGAGGGAAATATGTGTCTGATGGTGGCATCTTGCTGGAAGTGGCAGAAATGGCAGCTGATGATCTTCTGATGTGGATGCTGTTGGGATGGTAGGTAAGGAGAAGGGGAACCCTATCGCTGTTGTGGGAAGGAAGATACGGGGTGAGAGTGGAAATTTGGGAGATGGGTCACACCCGGCTGGGGGCCCTGTCGACAATGGTGAAAGAAGGTGGACGTTTTGGAGGCTCCCTTTTCAAAGTTGGCCTCATTGGAACATATGTCATGGAGACAGCAGAACTGAAAGAGTGGAATGGGGTCTTTCCCCCTCACCCTCTCCTGCAAACGCAATTTCTCACCTTCACCCTCTAACCTTCCCCTGAGCTTCCATTCTGTTCAAAAACAAAGTTGCTGGAAAAGCTCAGCAGGTCTGGCAGCATCTGTGAAGGAGAAAACAGAGTGAATGTTTCGGGTCCGGTGACCCTTCCTCAGAGCTTCCATTCTGTTTCACTTGATCCTCCTCACTTTCTTTCTAACTTACAAAGCCATCGCTTTTACACCTCTCTTTTCAGTTTTGAAGAAGAGTAATCATATTGAACTCAAAACATTAACTCTATTTCATTTTCCACAGCTACTAGACCTACTAAGTTACTTCATCACTTGGTCAGAGACAAAAAAGCTGCAGATGCTGGAAGCCAAGGTAGACAAACAGGAGGCTGGAAGAACACAGCAGACCAGGCAGCATCTGGAGGAAAGGAGCAGTCAGCGTTTCGGGTATTATCCTTCTACCCATCCAGTCCTGAAGAAAGGTAATACCCAAAATGTTGACTGCTCCTTCCCTCCAGATGCTGCCTGGCTTGCTGTGTTCTTCCAGCCTCCTGTTTGTCTACTACCTCACTTTCTGTTTGTATTTCAGATCCTCAGCATCCACAATATTTTGCTTTTACTTTAGTACAGAACAGAAGTGTGTCCAGTCTAGATAGGAACAGCTGGATGAAAACAAAGACCAAGGTCCATGAAGTCTACCTTTTATCACCCTGGCAGTCAAGATGATGAAGTTGTTTACTAATCATAGCAACCAATTACTGCAATGTAATTATATTACAGCAGAATTGATTAGCAAAGTGGTTTAGCAGACAATATTTACTCAATGGAAAAAGGATTGGACATGACATTTTTGTTCTCTATCTGTGTTGGTTTCTCAGGCCTAAACAAAATGAAGATTTTTTTTAAAATCTACATTGCCAATGAACTTGTGGTGAAATAAAACCTTGCATTAAGGGAATACCACTTTGATATCAAACTGTTTTTATATTTAATTACTCGAGGGCACATGCCAATTGGTGAAAGCAACTGAGAATTCACATTGATAGAGTTGGGGTGGTTTTTTTAGGTTCGGTGTTGGAGAATATTGTGTTTAACTTACTTTTTTCAATAAACTAGTCTACATCAGTGTCCCTAACTTTCATGTTACATAAATGACCTAAACATGACATACAGTGCTCTTCAGATATTGTCCTTCTCTTCTTTAAGTTTGCTTTGAACCCACTCCTCAAAACACCCTCACCATTGTTGTAAATTATACCCCCATTCAAAGCCTTTTTCCCTCTCCAAAGTTGAGAACATGTTGCTGTCTCCAGAATTGTGCTCACCTTTCTTAGATGTTCATGTTTGAATTCCTCCAGCCAGATTTACAGCCATTTCACAGCTTCAAAATGGAGCTTATCAAATGAAAATAGAGATTATGAAAAAGAATTCAAAAGGGAATATCAAAGTTTTCATAAATGCAATAGAAAGTGATTGAATATGGGAGAATATGGACCCAGTAAAGACAGATACAGATGTTACTCTACTCAACAATAAGTTTATGCTATCAGACCTTGGAAATGAATATTTTGTAGTATTTTCACAGTTGAGAAAGAGGAAAGGCAACAGCAAGCTACAAGGGGAACTTAAAGTAAATCTAAGGGCTGAACCTATTGGGAGGAAGCATATGGTCCCTTTCCAGCAAATTTGAAGATGAATTAGTGTCAGGGAAGTGGGGGCTACTTGCTTTGGGGGTCCTATGTGCCCATCAGAGGCACCTTCCTTTAAGCTCATATTCCCTTTATCCTGTCCCCAATCCTGGTCCCAGTAAGCCAGTTCCCACTGTCTCCTCACTCCCTTCACTGGGGCCTATCAACTAGATCCTGCCAATAGCCTGAGTTTACCTTGGATCAGGCCTCCACTGGTTCCTCTTTTCCATGGAGCAGCTGTAGTCCCAGCAGTGAGCACTGCTCCAACCTGTCCTACTGGTACTCAAGAGCTGCCAGTTATCTAATTCACTTGCAGTCCTCCTAAGTGGGACTTCCTCCTCAAAAGCAGGTGTAAGTCTTGCCTTGAGTCAATTAATCCCCTGTCAGTTGTTAACATCGATGTATTGGATAAAGACTTGTGGATGGGGGCCCGAATAGGACTGATGAGGAACATACAAGGCATAACTGGGACCCATGCCCATTCTCATAGCCATATGTTTGACTTTGGAGAAAATGAGACAAGTTCAAGGAAAAATTGTTCTAAGTGAGAGCAAGCACAGCTAGGTGAAGGAGGGTGGTGGTGGATGGTGACTGTTCTGGCCTTCTTTCAAGGAAGAAGTTGGAAGTCTTCAGGCCATCCTGATGGGGTGGACATGTCGAGGGATTGCACATCATGGTGAGGAGGAGGCAGCTAGGGCCAGAAACCTGCCAACTGTGGAACTGATGTTAAGCGTCAGAAGAATCACAAAGAGACTGGGAAGAGCTGGAACAAGGGGAGAGAAAAATAGTGTCATCACGGGAAGAAATCAGTGGGGCAGGGACGGCTGAAATAATGGGTCTGCCATGCAGCCCTGTTTGTGGATTTTGGGAAAAGACCAAAGTGGGCTGGATTATAAAGCTGTGGATGGAAGATCTCCAGAG